AAAATTGACAATCCTGACATGCACACGCTGCTATATTTAAAATGGATAACTAACATCGGCCTACTTTTAGCACTGGGAACTCTGCTCAGTATTATGTAACAACCTAAATGGGAAAAGAATTTGAAAAAGGATACATGTATATGTATAACTGAATGATTCTGCTGTACACCTGAAACTAACAGAACATTGTTAATCAACTATACTCCAACACAAAATAAAAAGTGAAAAAAAAATTGACAATCCCGCGATTGTATGTAGCTATGTGAGTGTTTGTGATTCTTTGTACATTCTATATTTATAAAATCCTCAAAGGCGAAAAAAAATCTCCCTCCCCCAATGCTACCCCTGGCCCAAACAAATTTAATTAAGAAAGGCAGAAAAAAAAACATTCTTTTGGTAAAGACTTGGGAACTGAGGCTAACGCCTGTATAATTACAAGAGGGCTCTAAGAGTTCAGAAAACATGGCTTTTTGTTAGTATGAGAGTTTTTAACCTTTTAACTTTTTATTTTGAGGTAATTAGAGGCTCATAAGAATTTGCAAAAATATTACAAGAGGTCCTATGTCCCCACTACCCAGCTTTCCCCATGGTAACATCTTACATAACTATAGTACACTATCAAAACAAGGAAATCGACATTGCCACAATACAATTAAGTAGATTCTATACCTTACTGGGACTTCACCTGTTTGGTTGCACCGCACAGCCTGCAGGATCTCAATTCCCCAACCAGGGTTGAACCTGGGCCACAGCAGTAAAAGCTGAAAGCACGGAATCCTAACCATTAGACCACCAGGGAACTCCCTTTAATGTCTTTAAGTTATAAAAACAATTTGCTCATCAACGAATTAATGGATAAACAAGAAGTGGTACATCCATACAAGGGAATATTTCTCCACCATAAAAAGGAATGAAGTACTGATACATACTACAACATTTTGAAAACATTTTGCTAAGTGAAAGAAGCCAGATACTAAAGGTTATATATTGTATGATTCCACTTATATGAAATGACCAGATTAGGTAAATCCTAGAGATAGAAAGGAGATTGGTGGTTTTCAGCGGCATCGGGGAGAGGAGATGGGGAGCATGTTCCCATGGGAATGGGAACCGTTACCACAACAGTTATGGGTTTCCTTATGCCATGATGAAAATGTTTTGGAACTATATAGAGGTGGTAGTTGCACAACACTGTAAATGCACTAAATATCACTGGATTGTTCACTTTGAAATGGTCAGTTTTATGTTATTTGAATTTCATCTCAATAAAAACATTTTAAAAGCAATTTGCTTGTTGTAGGGAAGTCCAAACATAAAAGTATAAGCAAAAATTGACAATTTTTTCTTCTCCCAGCTGCTCGCCTCTCCACATCCAATCCCACCGCACAAATACACCTTCCCTTAACTGCTTAATAGGTAACAGCCCATGTTTTAAAAAGCTTTGTAACATACAGAGAGATACATATGTTTCCTTCTCTCCTGAATGTTTACTGAGCACTTTATCCATGTCAGGCAGGCAATGTTGTACCTTATGGGAAACTCCATGGTGAATAAGACAGACTGATGGAATTAATTTTCTAGTAAGAGGTGGGCAGTAAGCATGGGAATGAATATGAATTTCAGATTGTGAAAAAATGTGAAAAACTAAAAGTAGATAAGATGGTAGAGAGTGATGTGGGTTGGCGGAGGGCCAGGGTGGCTAGGAGAGGTCTCTGAGCTGAGGACACAACATGTGAGCTGAATGACAACAAGCTAGAGAAGTGAAGATCTAGGGAAAGAGCATTCAAGGGAGAGGAAAAAAAGCTAGATATCTTTACAGAAATAGGAGTGTACTAGGTACATTGATCCACTAGGTACATTGATCCACTAGGTACAATGTACACATATTAGATATCTTGCTTTTCCCCTACTTTGCCATATATTATACATGTATTTCCATGTTGGCCTCTCACTCTTTTTAATAGCTGCATGTTATTCCATAATATTGATACACCATCACTTAACCATTTCCCTGTTGATGGACATTCAGGTTGTTTCCAGTTTGGAGCTACTGCAAAAAATGCTGGAAAGAACAGCTTTTCACACCTGTGTTCATATTTCTGTAGAAAACATCTCGAGGAGTGGGACTGCTACATCAGTGTCCATTTGTGTGCGCACATTTTCACCCACTAAAAGCCCGGGACAGCTTTGACTTTTCATATCAGTCTCATGTTCAGAGGTATAAAAGATAAACTCTTAGATTAAAAAAGCAAAACAAACTACTGTGTATTTGATTAAAGGTGCTAATGCTGTGACCCTGATTTAAAGGCAGAATAACTAAGCTGGGGGCTTGGATGACCACAGAGAATGAGAGAGAGAGAGAGAGAGAGAGAGAGACTGAGACTAGGAATGCCAGCAGGGGGGATTTGCATTGGAAGATGGGAATATCTGTGGTAAAATGGCTCAGACTTGAACAAGCATAGCTTTGCAAAGTTAAGCTGTTGTCAAGCTAACCTTGTGTGTGTATCACAGGGAATAGCAGGACGTCCTTGGAAAACTATCTCTTAAAGTTGACAATCCTGTGTCTCAACAGCCCCAGATGAGTGTAAAAGGGCAGTATCATCCCAGACTCCCTACTGATTCCTGCATTCAAAATTTATTAAGAATGTTTTTTATGCCAGGCATTATACTGGGCATTACAAATATAAAGAAGATGAATAAAAGATTCTGACCTCAAGTTGCCCAGTCTTAACACAACAGTAATTATCAAGACATTGTAAATCAACTATACTTCAATTAAAAAAAAAAAAGAAAAACGTGGGAAAAAAAAAAAAGAGCTTCTCCCTTTTCTATTTGGAACAGTGTCTCTACTCAGGCAGGTCAAAGCTTTTGAAAACAGAGTGGACTCTTTCCTGAATAATTATCCTATTCAGGGACAGTTAATGACATCAACTTTTCTAAGCTGCAGTCTTAGCAGTTTCTTTGTTCCTACAAAAAGCACCAAAAGAAACTCTGCTAATTTAATTAGATGTGAAGAACTAACCTATCAGAGTGATCACCCAGTGCCCTCCGGGTGATTCCTCTTGAAGTATGGTATCTGATGACAAGGGTTGAAGAAGGACAGTGTGGTTCACCATCTGAGTCAGTTGCTTGTGTTGACACTTTCTTAGGAGTAGGTTGGGGAGAGCAAATCTTGAGTCAGAAGTCACTTTAGGCACTTTATTTCTGACACATTGTGTTTTCTTCTTCTTGTGACTCTGAGTCAATAGCAAGGCAGGTCTCCTATATATGAAAGAAGGTCTGATTTTTATATCAATCATTGGTAAATTCTCTGTAAACCTGAGGGCAATCACTTAATACCAACTTTAAAGCAGGTCACATAAGAAAGATCCAGTGGGGTCTTCAGAGAACTGTATTAATAGGCTGTAAGCAGATTTTTGTATTAATCAAAGGAATAAATCCTCTGTTGTGGGGAGGAAAAAAATATCAATGTCCAGAAGATTTCAGGGAGCATGAACCACAGACCTGTCGAGAAACTTAAAGCCAGCCTTGTGATAATTGAGGTCACTGGTTTCTTTACATTTATAGGGCTCAATTTCCCAAGTGTTATGTGTTAAAGAAACAAAGCATCCATCAAATTTGCTAATTTAATATTAAACACAATTTCAAACCACTTAGGACTGGTTTTCAAAGGTAACTGACAGCTTTGTTTTTGATTTGTCTCATTAGGCTGAGTCCTCTTTTACCTTTAAAATAGATGTTTAAAATTAATACCTAGATCTAGATTTTGGACCTTAACATAAGGTTGTTAAGAAACATTCTTTCTGTGTTCCCCCCTGTACTCTGTTATTTCTAGCTAACAGGTTAGTTGCACTCTGTCTAGACTTCTTGCAGAAAAATATCAACAATGTTTTTCTCTGTCTTGGGATCCACAAGGGTGAATTAAAAGAAAACTTAACAGGTACTTTCCTACTTCGAGCAGTTGGGTCTACGTATTTATCTTTCGCTTTTTTTCTTTTCCCATGTTTACGGAACCGCAACCTGGCAGCGTGAGATGCAGTCAATCAAGTATTTCGGGAAAACCTGAGCAAATCCGACCATTCAAAAGAAAACCACCTCACCTGAAGGTGTATAACGACCCTGGACGCACAAAAATAACCCTGTCAGTTGGGTCCAGCTGGCTACATCATGGAATATGGCAAACTTCTGTTTAGTTTGCAAAGCCCTTGACCGGGAGGAGGAAGGGACGGAAAAGTTTGAGTGAGGGCTTTAAATGACTAGTCATACAGACAGTGAGTCATTGTAAGTTTCCAGTTAATAATCCCCTCTGCCGGAGTAGAACCTGGGCCGGAGCGCTTTATAAGCCACTTTGCAGTTTTAGTGGTAATGGGTCACGGTTTTATTGTCTCTTCCACCAAATGAATACAGAAAATGAAGGACGCCCTGCGTCGCCTTTGAAATGTAGGGCAAACTCTGGCTGGGGGCGGGGAGGAGGAAGGTGGAAAGAAAGAGAACACTGTGCGGAGACTGTAAGGCAGGGAACGCAGAGGGCTGGTGAAAAGAGAAAGAAGGAATTTTCAGGAGTTGAAAGCTTTTTTCTCCACCTTAGAACTGCTGCTGTTCGTTTTCCCGCGTCCTGTGTAGAACAGGACGGAGCGGGCCACCCCCGCGAGCTGAGAGACTCACGGTCCCCCGCCCTGCGCCGAATCGCACCAGGGCTCGCTCTCACCCCTGCCCCCACCCGGTGACAGGTGGGGCCGCCGAGCTTCGACCAGACCTCCGCCTCCTCGCGCTGCATGCCGGGAGCCGGCGCCGCTTCCGGTTGCTTCCGGCCCCGAACTCCGACTCCCGTCTGCCCCCGGGAAAACCGCAGAGGCGTCGCGCGGATCCTGTCGGAACTCGTAGTTCCGCCTTCTGCCGCGCTTCATAGGTGGAAACGGGGTTGACCGGGGCCGAGAACTACCGAGGCGAAGGTACGGGTAGCGGCGAGGGGTCAATCTGCTCCGGGCGTGGGGTTGGCGCTGAGACGGTCGGAGGTGGTTGGGGCTGGGTGGGAGGAGATCCGCTCGCACACACGAGGAGGGTTGAGCCGCTGGTGCCGTTGTCGTCGCGAGTGCGGAGTCGGGACTGGAGCTGCTGCCGCGACAACGTCGGGAATTGTGCCGCTAGCCCCCGGGCTTTCTGCCTCGCCGCTTCCCTGGGTCAGCGCGGCCTGCTCCTCCCCGGCCCATAGCCCCCGCCTCCATTTCCCGCCCTCGCTTTACCACACACACGGCCCCCCCGATCATGGATCCTGGCAGTGGTGGCGGCGGTGGTGGCGGTGGCGGCGGCGGCGGCGGGAGCAGCAGCAGCAGCGACTCAGCACCGGACTGCTGGGACCAGGCAGACATGGAAGCCCCCGGGCCAGGCTCGTGCGGCGGCGCCGGCGGTCCCTTGGCGGCGGCGGCCGAGGCCCAGCGTGAGCACCTCAGCGCGGCCTTCAGCCGGCAACTCAACGTCAACGCCAAGCCCTTCGTGCCCAACGTCCACGCCGCCGAGTTCGTGCCGTCCTTCCTGCGGGGTCCGGCCCAGTCGCCGGCACCCCCACCTGGCGTCGCCGCCAACAACCACGGAGCCGGCAGCGGCGCGGGAGGCCCTTCGGGTAAAGGGCCGGGACGCGGGGCAGCCCCGGGACGCGGGAGGTAGCCGGGCTGCGAGGGCGGGAGCAGCCGGCCTGGGGGCCGGAGCTCACCTGGGATGGAGCCCGGGATGGGGTCGAGGGCGCGCCTCGCCGGGCCGGGGACGCGTGGCCGTGGGGCCGGGCGGCACGTGGGGCGCTGACAGCGGCGCCCGCTGTCCTGGGTGGGGCGGCCCCGGTCCGGGGAGGCGGACTGCGTAGGCTGACCGCGGCGGAGGGCCGGTCGGGGCGGGAGCAGGGTGCCGGGCACACCGGAGGGGCCTGGTGTCCGCTCCTCCCCCCCGGGGCCGCACTTCCCCGCTGGAAGTGGGAACAGTATGGGACGGAGAGGGGGACGGCCGCGGGTCAGTGCCACGAGGCCTAGAAGCGAGGACAGATGGAGCCAGGAGGAGTCGGCCGGATGGGCGTTGAGAGAGATGAGGAGTTGGGGAGGACGACTGGTCGAGTTTTCCCTTCACCTTGGGCCTAGGCGAGAGAGCGTCTCTCGCTGCAATTTCTATTACTGAAACTGTAATTACATTTAACAGATCTACGGCACCGAACCGTCCTGAAGGAATCCCAGGATGCATTGCAGTCTTGCGATGGGGCAGAAACTGTTGGCTATCTATAGATCTTTTTCACCTTTAGCATTTTGTAAGCTTGTGAAGTTCATAGTGTCCCAAAGTTAAGAGTTCCTCACTTAACATTAAAGTGCGTAGGAGGCTACGCTGATTTGTGTGCCCTTTTTATAAGTGGGATTTGGACTCTTCTCCTTAGTTGGTGACACGTTTAGAATTTTTATTGCGTTAAAATCGTTTGCCTTATTAAGGTTGCTTGGTGTAACTCTCTCTCTGTGCTCCTGTGTCAGGAATTAGTCTGTTCAAACTTATTAGGTGTCACGCGTCGTTTTGACCATAGCGAGTAGACAGGCTTTCTGTGGTTTCGAGTTAAGTTGTCTTCAAAACTCTTTGAGTATTTAGGGGCTGCTTAAGTGATGGCATGCTTTCAGGTACTGATTTTGTAGGAATGTCAAATGAGTGAACTTGATTTCTCTTTAAAGTTCTATATTGTAGCATTTCTTGGATAAGTAGACATTGTAAAAGTGCTCTAGGAGTTTAGTTTCTTCAGAGACTTTGGCTACAGTTTTCTCTCTAGAGGCAAAAAGCGTGTTTGGGGAAATGTTTTTGGGAAGTATGTCTGTGAGCACAAAGTTCGGATTTGCTTGTTTTATTGACTGGTATTTCTTTTACTGTGTGAAGCCGTTGAAGTTTGCCCTTTGAATTGAATAAGGAAGCTTAGCTTTGCTTAGACCAAGTCCTTTGGGCCACATAAACTAGTTCGCTTACCAACTCCTAAAAGTGCCTCTTTCCCCAAACCTTATCATGAAGTTTGCTTTTATCCAGCCATTTTAGTTTTTGGCCCTCCCTCCTAACTCTGGAGTTGCCAGTCATCAAGGGACCATCATCCTTAGAGCAGTGGTCTGGAATGGTGGTCGTTCTTGAGTAAGTAGGCATTACCTCTTATGTAGAAGAACTGTCTTTTCTCTTCCCGGTATTTGCCAATTTGCAGTTTTAATCCTTTGCTCTGTGACACTGCTAGAAATTGGAGATGTAAGAATGTATAGGAAAGTGGTTGTCCCTACCTTATGGTCCCTACATTGTGGTCGGTTTTTTCTTTTTTTAATCAGAAACCTATCTTGGTGTTACTGACTCTATCAGCTGCTTCTGCAAAATGCCAGTTAATGTTAAAACAACAACAGCAACAACAACAACCCATCCTCTGTAGGATGTCTGTTTGGAAAAGAATGGATTTTCTAAATTGAGGTCCAGAGTTAATGTGGCACCGTTGGATTGCATGTTCCAGCTCATTCAGGTCCATAAATTACCAGCATCAGAGCAGAGAACTACGGAAGAAGCAGGGAAAAAATTGGAAATAGCACTTAGGTTGAAATTTACAAAGGGGAAACCATAAAGTTTGCAGGTTTTTTATACTGAGGAAACGGACTGTAGGGCTAGCATGTTTTCTTCTGTTGTTAACCCATAGCTGAAATTGGTGGTGGGTGTGTTTTTAAACTAGATACCAGGGGAGCTCTTGAAGGAGTCTAGAGGTAGAGCACTAGAATGAATGACTTTTAAAATGAATGAACGACTTTTAAAATGTATGTGTCTAGTATGAATATCTGTCATTCTCTGGAAAGAGGGCTAGTTTTCTCTTTTTCTCTCTTTTCTTCTTTCTTTTTTTTTTGAAATAATTTCAGTGGTGCTTTGAGCAGCAGGTAGAGGAAGATGCTTTGGCACAAAGCGTCATTCACTTTCACTGGCAGGCTGCTGGTTAATGCTTATATCCAGCTGTCTTGAGTCAGAACATGGGATTCAGTGTTGACCTTGGATTCCTTTGAAAATTTTTAATATAGGTTTCCAGATTAATGATTAAGTAGAACTCATGTAAGTGTAATTAAGTATAATTCACTTAAGAGCAGTTCTCTACAGATGCAAGTAAAATGGCTAAGTGATGGTAGTTTAGAGTCCCTGAAATGAATGAAAATGTAGACAAGGGTTGTGTGTGCTAGAACATTTTCTGTGATCGAATGTACTTATTTTCAGTTTCAATTTGCACCAAGTTCAGTCTTGCTCTGTCTTTTTTAGTGTGAAATGAGAAACAGGTTCAGCAATGTTAATCAGGGTTACTTGGTGTCTTGGTCTGATTGGGCTGCTATAACAAAATACTGTAGACTTGGTAGCTTGTCAGCAACAGAAATCTATTGCTCACAGTTCCGAAGCCTGGAAGTCTGAGATCAGGGTGCCAGCCTGGATGGGTGAGGGCCCTCTTTCCTCTTCTGGATAACAGAATGCATACTGACTTCTTTCTGTGTCCTCACAGGGCTGAAGAGGCAAAGGAGCTCTCTGGGGCTTCTTTTAGAAAGGCACTAATCCCATTTATGAGGGCTCTGCCCTCATGACCTAAGGCCTCCCAAAGGCCCCACCTAATACCATCACTTTGGGCATTAGGATTTCAACATACGAATTTTGGGAGGAACGCAAAACATTCAGGCCATAGAATCTGGACTTTTAGACACTGCCAGAGCTTCTAAAGTAATGGTGTAGAGTTCGTAGAGTTGTTTCTGTCATCCCACCCTCAATGCCTCTCAAAACTCTGCGGTTGTAAAATGGGTATAGAATAAAAGTAGCAGTCCCCAGTGAGCCCGTAGAGGGGGCTTATCTCCCAAATGTAACGAATTATATTGAACTTTAAAGAGAAATGTTCTGTTTTGTAGTGTTTGGTTTTTGCTGAATGCCTTGTGGAGAAGGGACTTTTTTTTGATGATTGTTATGATTCACATACCATAAAATTCACCTTTTAAAAGTTCAGTGGTTTTTTAGTATATTCACAAAGTTGTGCTACCGTCCCCACTTGGTGGATGCTTGTTAATCACTGAATTTTCCCAAAGGTGACCTCCTCAGGGCCACCGAGTAGAGAAGATCCAGAGTCAAAGTGATGGTTGTTTTGTCCTGAAGGGCTCTTACACTTTATGTTAAAGAACACCAGCTGATTGATAGTTAAGTTTACATAGATGATAGATATGGTTCTCCACTTGACACTTGTTTTTCTTTTCCTATGTGACTGAAATGCCTGCAATAACAATTCTAATAGAAAGGACTTTTCAGATGGGACAGTGAATGGGATAAGTGGGTTGAGGAGATTAGAGAAAGTATTGTTCTTGGAGTATTATTTCTTTTCCTACCTTGACTTACTGATTATTAGAGATCATTCGGTTTTGGCTCTTGTTTCATGATTTTACATGTTGGAACGGCTCAGGTGTGAGGATATAGGGAACAAGTGAGGGCATCCGCTAGTGCTATGCCATGTTGAGCAGCTGTTTAAACTGTTAGAAATTTTGATTGGGAATAAACCTTCTTTATTTATTTGTTTATTTTTTTGGCCATGTCACTGCATGTGGGATCTTAGTTCCCTGACCAGGGATGGAACCCGTGCCCCCTGCAGTGGAAGAGCAGAGTCATAACCACTGGACCGCCAGGGAAATCCCATGTGAATAAACCTTCTTTAGAGCAGGTTTTATTCAGTGCTTTTTGCTTCTGTGTGTGTGTGTGTCCTTTGTTTATTTTTCACCTTTTCTGGAATTGTACTGCATGAAAAGATAACAATTAAAACATATCACAGCGAGTTAGGGAAATATTGTAGAGAACAGATTTTAGCCTTGTTTTTTTTGCTGGGGAGGAAAGTTAAAATAGCGTTGTCTTTCTGATTGGAGAGAAAGGAAGGAAGAAGAGATTTGATAAACTTTTGGGGTGAGTTAGCAGTATTAGAATGAAATTTTTTGAGGTATGAATCTCTGGTTTTCTTAAGATATATGTATAGCAATTAGTGAACAGACATTTGCCTGCCTACAGAAGGCAGGATGCTGTGCTAGGCACTTGAAGTGGTACCACCAAAATGGAGAACTGTTTCTCAAGGAGTCTAAAAAGGGATCAGATACCCAGTTTACTCTAATGGAAGACACTTCTTGGTAAGAGGGCCAGGTACAGGGTGTAGAGGGCTTTCAAAGCTGAGAAGAATTGTTCACAGGTACCCTTGTATAAATTCAGTCGTGAAATCTTAAAACCAAAGATCTATTTTCTACTAAGTGTTCTTTGTGAATACCATAAGATTGGGGGTGGGTTTTTTGAGCTATAATTAACATATAAAATTCATCCTTTAAGTTTGTTAGAAATTTGCTAAAGTAGAGCATCAGTCATCTTTACACTACTTGTAAGTAGAGGCTTGTTTATTTCATATCAAACAGCAGTGAGTTACTGTGATTCTGGCTGTCTATTAGGCATGTTAATTTAGAATTTCATCATTCTATTCACAGTTCTTAGAAATGTTGGGGAAGCAAGAATTTGGCTACTAGTTGAAGGTCCTTGATCTTTCTGCCGTCCTCAGACTCCTTTTTTAGCTGTCAGTTGCTGATTCATACCAAAGCTTCT